CAGGGTTCCATTCAGATGAATCACATAAAAATATCTTGGGAAGGAGACCAGGGGTGGGTATTTTTTAAAGCTTCTCAGGTGACTTTTTTCTCATGTAAGGGGAATTGCATGGTGCTGAATTGCAAGTGCACCTGAATTCTGAGTCTGAGGCTCCAGGTCCTCCTTTTGGATGACACACCAGAGGGGCATTAGGTATTTAGGAGAAGTGCAGGCAGCACCTTGTGGAAATCCATTCTACTCTTTGGCATATGTAGTGGTTGCCAACCCAGCAAAGCGTCAGAAATCAGACTTGCCTCTGGAATTTTGTACACCTACAGATTCGCAGGTACCACTAGTGGGTAGGCAAGGCTCTGAAATCTGGATGTTGTTGTTTCTCAGTGATTCTGATGCCCCACCAAGTTTGAAACCACAGCATGCATACCAGCTAGAGAAAAGGGAAATTCATCAAATACGTACTATGATAGTAACTCTGCTAACAAACAAAGGTCTAGTTTTATCTTTAATGCCTCAAATAATAGCCAATGTACTGAAATACATAAGTTCTTTGATCTCAAATCTTCACAAAATAATCATAATTAATAGATTCATCACTTTTTACCTGGTTTGGAGGGTTCTGCCAGTAGTACTTTGACCATTGTTCAGCTTCTCTAAGAAACACTTAAGCCTTCCTTGATTGTGACTTTGGCTTCGCTATGCCTCGAGTTTCCCAAGCTGTGTATGTATTGATGGAACTCATAGGAAAAGACTCAATAAGAGTTCTGTTGTGCTTTAACTACAAAGCACCCTTTAAATAACTTTCTCTTCTATGGGAAAATTCAACTGAAGTGTCTTGGGATGGCCAAACACAATTATCTACAGAGGAGTATATTGCTTCAGAAAGGATAAACCACCAAAAGCAGGGTCCTTGACCTAAGAGGCTTAAGCTTGAAGATGGGGTAAACAAATGTAAGATAACTTTAAAACAGAGTCAATCTCAAGGCTGGAGAGCCAGCAGCCCTAGAGGCTGTGCAGAAGCAGAGTGGAATTCACTTCTAGCACCTCACAAAATAAACCGACTTCTAGAAAACTCTGGTTACTTTCAGATCCAAGAATAGTTTAGAACTTGAGGTTTTTAGTTTTAGGCTTTTATACGGAAAGTTGGAAATAAGACATTCAATTCAAAATGTGGTTGTTTTAGCTTCAGTTAACATTATATAGATGAGATTTATCACTATCTAGGCCAGGTTTGCTACCAATTTCGTTTTAAATATTTTCCTGAGTAGATTGTTATATGATGTCAAGATGTTTCCATTGGTCTATTTAATGGTTTGATTTCTATTTTTATTTATTTTTTTGGTTAAGCTAAGATATCTATTGAATTAGTTTATTTATTTTTATTAACGTAACTCAGTATTAATACACAAAATAAATTTGACAGGAGCTGAGCAAATGCTTGGCAGTCTCAATTTCATTTGCAATTAGTCTTTCAGAGTATTCTGCCTTTGGCTCCATAATGTTAGTATAGGAAAGAAAATATAGTCAAATCCCTAAGTGATATTTGGTCATTAATAGTTTAATGTGTGTTTATTTTTTTCTTCCAGGTTTTTATTTCAGAAAATAAATCCTGGATTATGTTCTCAAAGGAATTAGAATTATTTTGTGTATCTTTTTGTTAAAACCCTGTAGGCATTTTTTTCCCCTAGTGGGTTTTATAAAGGTTTAACAACTGGCAGCCCTGGAATCTGATGACCTCTTTCTTTCCTTTGACTAGATAAGGTAGTACAGCTGCTTGGTAACTTTTCCCATAGAGGCTGCCAATGGTGCTGGGGGCCGGGGTGTCCCTCTGTAATTCGATCTCAACATAGGATCAGACCTGGTCCTTGTCAGGGCTGAAATTGTGTGCTATATGAAGTTACATTTAGTGGTTTCTGTCCTACTCCTTAAACTACTGTTTGCAGAGACCATCCAACCTACACAACTTCCTTGAGTCCGTTGGGGAACCAAGTTACAGCAGTCCACATGGTCATTCAGTCGACAGGCTGTCTGGAGCCAGCTTCTTTAGAATCCACTGGTGATGTTTCTGGCAAAACGATTCACATTTCTAGTAAAGTCTCATCACATAAGGAAAGTTAATAATCTTTGGTGAGAAATGACTTGGGCTATGAACCTGCAGAGCAGGAAATTGAGAAGTGGTCAGGCAAAGTTTAGAGATGAGCATTTTGGTTTTGGTGCATTGCTTTTACTTAGCCTGCCCTAACCTTACACCTTCTTTTGTGTCTGCATTTGTAACTTCTTGTGCCCCCACTGTTATCCTCTAGTTCACTGATGTTCAGACCCAAGTGTGCATGAGACTCATTCCTAGGCCTTATCCACAGAGAGCCTGATGCAGAAGTTTGGTGCAAGGTCTTAGAGGCTACATTTTTAACAAACACCCGAGGTGCTCCTCATTCAGGTGGTCTAAGAACTATGCTGTGAGAAAAGCATCATTAACAAAATGTGCTATCACTCAGCCGACATTTGTCAAAAGGAAAGTACACTTCATAGATTATTCATATTTTATTGTGTCAACCTACCCTCAAAAAGTAAAATTATATTGGGAGATATACATACACAGAAAAATCTATTCCAAGATACCTATGCGAAACAGTAGTATAGGTATAGACTGAAATATAGGTATAGTAGTATAGACTGAAAATGCTTGATGAGTTAATAAAAGGGGTAGTTACTATTAGCAGCTGTGGTCATGGAAATCTGCCCAATGCTTTAATTTCTTCACTTTCAGAAAAGCTGTTTTTGAAACAGCAAATTTTAAGTAGGAGGGAAGCAGGGATTTGCCTACAATCCCAGCTGATGGTAGAAATACATTTTTTAGAGACTTCATTTATGAAATCAGCATGCATTAAGCATATGCTATGTGAAAGGCATGTTTTGTTTGTTCATTTTTAAGGCCGCCTCATATCTACTCTGATCAGAATTTAAGTCCTTGGCATTCTTCAACTCTTCTAAAGCAATAGAACGTCTTTAGTAGGTTTGAAAAGGAAAAAGGCATTCCTTACAATTTGACCCCAAAAAACACCAGAGCTCTTCAAAAAGTCAATTCACTCTTACAAAATCTAATGAGGGATTTAAACCATTTTAATATGGCTCAATTTATTACAACCACTACTTGTGCTGCTGCTGTGGCTGCGGCTGCAGGTCACATGGGGTGAGGGGTGTATTTTTGCTACTGAAATGTAGAAATGTGCACTGGCACATGGTACATTTTTTCTTACGTCAAAATAGAATAGTAGAAAGATTCAAAGACTGTGTGAATCAGGTGATGATAGCTTCTAATACCAAGGCTGGCATTCACTTTGACGTTAAGTAAATAAATTAATCTTTCTGTTTCCCAGTCTTTTGTAAAATGGAGGTATTAATAATTCTATCTTGAGGATTTACTGGGAAGGTAAATAAAAGTAATAGTAGAAGTCCTAGTAAATTAAGGAAGATGTTTGTATATAAAGCATTATTTTAAAAATATGTACACACACATACACACATATTTTTTTTTGCCTCCCTGCAAGTCTGCAAAGCAACGTATGTAATGAAATTAAGCCTCTTGCAATGGGGCTTTGTATTCTCTGGCTTTCATTGATGCACTTCTCTCCTGCCTCTGTTTTCACTCTTGACAACGCAAGAATGAGGTTCAGAATCCTAAGCCAAATTAATACTTAATTGGACTTACATAAGTACTATATTAAAGTTGAAATATATAATTATAGCAATGATGGACTAATACGTGATAATGTTATCAAGAGTTTAATATTGTTCTAGTGATTTCTTAATATTAAATGACATTATTATTGGTTTTAATCAAACAATAAGAAAAAAAGCTAAATTTCAAAAATACTGTTTTATAAGCACCAACAAATTTTGTTGAGATACTTCTCTAAAGGAAGCATTTTAGTTTCTAGAACCTGGAATTTCTATTGCAAATTAAAGAATCTGTGTTATTAGCATGGCCATTTACAGTTGAGCCATGACATTTTAAACTGAGATAGAGACTTGGTTGCTTTTCACAGAAACATTGAACACCTACTCTGTGCAATACTCTGTACTTGGTAATGTAGGAGACATAAAAATATTTAAATATTGTTTAAAAAATGTACCTTGAGAGAAACACTGATAAAGAGAAATGGGAGTGAAAGAAATAATGAAAGTAAATAAATCGTTTGTCTAAGATTGAAAACTAGTAGAGCCAAGACGCAAAACGAACTGTAGATTTACTCTATTGTTCTACCATGCTCCTCTGTATCATTAAGCTTAATTGCAAAGAGTGACCTTATCTAGTTACAAAGTTGGGTTTTTTTTTTCTGATTAGTTTCATACTTTGCACTATCAAAAGAAGAAAATAAGGTATTTGAAATGTTTCACCCTATTAAGAAACAACTTTAATGACTGAACCAACATAGTGTATTATCAGGACATATTCCTAACTTTGCCCCTTTCTTTCTATCTTTGTTCATTATAGCATCATCCCACTACACTCCAGCCCCTATCATCAGCAATCCATGCAGGTAGTAGACTTATCTGTGGCTTCTATGTAAGCTCAGTGTTTACGGAGTAAAATTGTTCCTCATCCAAGGGATTTTTTTACTTACTTAAACCAATTATATAAGCTGCCATGTTTTCTTTGAACAGTTTGACAAATACTGTCTTTTATTGGTTAGAAAAAGAAAGTGGCCCAAAGCATTTATACCTCTTTAGCATGTACTGTTTGAAAGTTTGAGCATGACATGAGATAGGATGCTTTGGAATCCTGGATACCATTTTTTCCTCTGGAGCACATGTGATGGAGCAGCAAGACAGAGTATTATTTCCTTGCTGGAATAACATAAAGCCTAGTCAGCCAAGGCAATTTCACAGTGCCTGACCAAAACACCTTGGCTGCTGCTCCCACGCAGGGAGACTTTTTGGCTGAGAACGAGGGCTTGAGTCAGTGATTGCTGAATGCCCTATATTTGGCATTCTACTGTTCATATAAACAGGGAGAAAAGAGCAGACGTTCATGACTGTAGCTTTACTGACTGAGAGATTTTGGTGAGTAAACCTCTACCTTGTTAACTCCATTGGGCCTTTCGGTGGGGGGGAGGCGGTCAATATCTTTCACCTGCTCATTTTGAAGTTCTAGTTGATGTTGACAGTTCTTTGATATTTATTGATAAAATATCACATTGACATTTCTTTCTCAATTTACTCTGTTGTGTGGATTCAGGAGTACCCCTTTAGTGCAGTATTTCTCTGTGATTACTTCTTATATTTAATTTATTTTTTTTCACCCAGACAGAATTTCTTACATTTATGCTCCAGATTTCCAGACTCATATTCATTTAGTATTTGTTCCTTGCTTAGCACGGTGCTGAATATAGAACAAACATTCATTAACTTTTTAATGGATCGATTGACTAATTGATTTCACTTGCCATTGACTGTCACAATGGAAGTAATGAACAGGTATTTACAGTGGACAAATTAGCTCCATTTGTAAGGGCATGGTGCTGTTGCTTACTGGGAGAGGGTCGGTGTTAGTCCCTAGAAAGACCAATTTGACTTATGAATGTTAGCTATTGTATTCAACCATCCTCGTCTTAAAATTGTGAACCTAATTGCAAGAAAAAGCCTGTAATGAAATCAACAGCAAAAAGCAACAGCCTAAGGGTATGTCCCCAAATGGTGGTTCAATAATGACCTTAACAAATTACATATTTGAAAGCAAGTAGAATAATAAAATAAATTTCTTTATCTCGCTTCTTTCTTTACCCTCACCATATTTTTTGTTCTTTCTTCAAAAAATAATGATCGAGTCTCTACATGAGCCAGACAGACACAGTACTAACAGGAAGAGCTATAAGGGCAAAAGAGGCACACCCTGACTCTGCCTGCATTTCAGTGGAAGAGTCAGACAAGCAGAATTATAATCAGGTCCCTATGCAATGTCACTGGAACATATAATCCAGAGTCAACTGACTGGAGGTGGTGGGAGGAGCTAATCAAGTAAGAGGGAATGAGTGCATTTGTGGAGGGAATACCTTGGGAAAAGCCCAGAGGTAGGGAAAAGAGAGGCAGATTAGGAGAACCAAAATAATGTTAACACAAAGTTGTGATCAGGAGCAACAGGAGTGAGAGTTGACATTGAAGTGTTATAAATGAACCATGTTATTGTAAAAACATTAAGACTTTACTCCAAAGTAATGTAAAAGAATGGGGATTTTCAGCAGAAGCATGACATGCTCAAATTTGTGTTTTTAACGCTTCCCACTGATGGGGCTGGGAGCTGGGGGAAGACAGGAGGCATGGAGATAGGGGATTGACAGAGGATTGAAATCGTTAAAATGAATTTGAAGCATATCACCAGGACTGGAGTCTGGCTAAATGTAGGGAGTTTAGGGGAGAGTGAGTCAAAGGTATATATATCTGAATCAAGGGAAGGTAGCACCACTCACTAAAATAGGAATCAGAGAAGCAAGATCAAGTTAAAAAAAAGGAAGTTCATGGATTCAATTTCAGCTTTGATGAATTTGAAATGCAGAAAACGCATTTCAGCCAAAATGCAAAACAGATCTTTCTTGTTCGTAACGACCTTGTAATTGTAATTCACATATTCATAGGCATTCATTTTTATATTGCTCTTTTTTGCCTTCATTCCTATCAATCATTATAGTCAAAGTTACCTACTCTGCTTAAACAAAGGCTGTGAGGTACACAAAGGAATATAGGCAATCTCCTTGAGGTGTTAAGAGCATGGATAGGTAGATAAGATCTACATTGAAAAACCAATTAGGTAACAAAAAGAGTCATGTTTAGGGAAGGGTATATATATACACCCTGTAACAAGTGCTGTTAGATATATGCCTTTTCTGTTTGTAACATATGTATATACAACTATTTATGTAATATATGTATATATCACATATATATGCCTTTTCTACTTGTAATATATGTATATATATAAAAACATATATGTAATATGTGTATATGTAAGAGGTATGTGTATGCCCTTTCTATTTGTAATATATGTATATATAACAAACAACACCTGTTATAGGATGTCAAATAACGGAGAGGTTGAACTGAACTGGGCAAAACTTCATGCATAAACTAGGACTTGATATTGGTTTCAATAAGGTAAAGACGGGGAAAGATGCTAGATAAGGGCATTTCTAATTTGGGGACAGAAAGCAAGGGAAAATAGGCTATTTTATCTATAGTTTTAATATAATGTATGCCTTAAAATATGGTACTACCTAAGCAAATAACTTGCTTATAATGTTGGTTGTAAAAAGAATGACAGCTTACCAGTAGACATCCATCCAGTTGTATAATTTTAACTTCTAGCCCTACTGTCTTTCTCATATGTAGAATGTTTATTAAACTGGCAATGAAGGATGCAATTCTCTTAGGAAAAACCAGAGGAGGGAGTTGCTGTACATAAATTTGATCTGCCCTGCCTATGCCTCTAATTTCTTGAACAGCGATATGCAAGCAAGTTCACTGAAGACTTGTTCTCTCTGTAGTTATTAACAAATATTTGATAAATTATTAATGTGAGACCATTGATTGAAATATTGCTGTATTTATTTATTTATTTTAATTGAACTTTTAAGTGTTATACAAGTAAACTTGTGTCATGGGAGCTTGTTATACAGATTATTTCATCACTCAGGTATTAAGGCTAGTACCTATTAGTTACTTTTCCTGATCCTCTCTCTTTTCCCACTTGCCACCCTCCAATAAGCCCCAGTGTCTATTCTTCCCTTCTATACCCATGTGTTCTCATCATTTAACTCCCACTTATAAGTGAACACACAGTATGTGGTTTTCTATTCCTGCATTAGTTTGCTAAGGATAATGGCCTCCAGCCCCACCCATGTTCCTGCAAAAGACATAATCTTGTTCACTTTTTCATGGATGCATGGTATTCCATAGTGTATATGTATCACATTTTCTTTCTCCAGTCTACCAACATTGCTATATTTAAAGTAGACAAGAAGAGTTAAAATAAAAAAACCACTTACTTGCTGGGAAAATGTGGTCTAAAGGCCAATAACTTAGAACAGTGCTATTCAATAGTAATACAAAGAGAGCCACAAATACAATTTTAAATTTTCTAGTAGGCACATTTAGAAAAATAAAGGAAACAGGTAAAATGAATAATATATTTATTTATGTTGATAGATCTGAAATATAATTTTAACACATAATCAAAATATGTATGTATACCTAATCATAAAAATGTATTCATGTGGTATTTTACATTCTTTCATTTTTCATATTAACTGTAAAATGCACTATTTATTTATACATATAGTACATCTCAATTCAAACTAGGTACATTTGAAGTCCTCAAGAGCCACAGAAGGCCACTATATTGGATAGCAGAGGCTTAGAGTGGAAAGCCTCTTATGTTTGGATTGTAATGGTCAGGTTGCTTATTACTGCACACATTCAGTCTGCTCCAAAGATGAGTGCTTTGACTTCTTTGTAAAAAGAATTCTCAGAAGCAGAAGAAATAAGAAAACATAAAAGGGAATTAACTACTATTAAACATCTGGGCTCCAGGCAAAGGGCTGGATATTTTATATTTATTCTTTCATTAGTCACCACAACAGCCGTTTGTAGTGAGATAAGCACATGTAAATAAATCCATACACAGACAGACATATAAGTAAATAAACAATTAAGTATTGCATAACAAACCCAATGGACAAAAAAAATGGAAATTCAGAAATTTAGTAAGTTGTTTAAGATTACATAGCTGGTAAGTGGCAGAACCATGAGTCACAGTCTGACTCTAAAGCTGATGCACTGTCTACTACGTTTTGCTGTCTCTTAAGGCATATCCCTGGTTTTTCTCAAACTTTCAGTGAACAGTGAATCAGCACATGATTGTGCAGTGGAGAATAAGCTTTTAGCAAGATCTTGTAATAGAAATGACATCAAGAACCGAATCATTGTAAAGACATGTTACTGGACCTGGCTCCTGGTAGATCCTAACATTTAATGACAAGAAAGTAGTTCCAGTGGATTACTCAGGAGAAGCAAATGGGAACTTTGTGAAGGTAAATCAAAAGAATGGATTGTATCTGAACAAAGAGTAAGTACATCTCAACTTTCATCCAGGTTTTGCATTTAATTCACTAATGTATCATAACTCACTTAGAAGATTTGCTATTCCAAACATCTGAGAAGTGAAAGGAGGGCGTTAACATACAGCATTATGTAAACATTATTGAAAAAATAAATGTATTGGGTTTACCTTCTTTCCTTTCTATTCTACCCATACAGCCCTACAACCGTACTGAGAATTTAGCCCTGGAGACATTTTCCCATATAATCTGGCATAGAAGAGTGGTTATCACAACTTTAGCATGGATAAGTCATCTGGAAAACTGATAAAACACAATTTCCTGGTCCCTATCTTCAGAGATTTTGATTCAGTGGGTCTGAGAAGAGACTTGATAATCTGTATTTCCAGTAAACTCTAATGAGATGCTGATGCTCCTGGTCCATGGACCACACTTCTGAGCTGCACTGGTTTACACAGTGAGGGATAGATGATGTAGTTTAACCATAAAGTCCGTTTGTCCTTTGCTAACTGGACAGCTGCTTCTGGATTCCCTGAACTTCCTCCCTTTGACTCTTTTTTTCCTGAACTCTGTAGATAGATTCAGTAAGTAAGACTTCAATGTATTCCAAGGAAATGGCAGGAATGACTTCAACAGTCCTTAATTCTTATTTGGATACTGACTTCATGGCCATAGACTACTACATGACAAAGGTAGTTTCAGTGCTGATCAAAGTAAGAGAAATTGCAAAGTGATGATCAAAGAGTTCTAGAATCTACTTGATATGGTAGAGTTATATTCTAGAATGCTGACAAAATAAAATATTAAATTGATAAATATAGTGGTGTCTGAAGAATTGCAATGAATGAGATGAGAGGAAAGTAAGAAATTGTCATGTTTTGATTCTTCAGAAAGAAAGAGAGAGAGAGACAGAGAACAAGAGCTGTTTCCACCAATACCACAGCAGTGCCTTTATTTTGGATTCTTCATAAGTAATGATGTGATTATTTATTAGTAACGATTTATGAATACCATAAAAAAACAGAATCATTTAGCTTATTATGGCTTCCCTAAAAATAAGATGTCTTGTTTTCTTGTTTGAGTGGGCTTCTAAACCATGAAATAAGAAAGTGTGGTAAAAAGTAAAAGTAAATTTCAGACATCTATTTTTATCTCTTCCTATGAATATGATGAAGAAACTAACCAGATGTAAGGACAAAAACAACTGAATGTCCAATCTAACTGATTATAAGATTTCTGTCCCTCTGGAGGTAGATGGTTATTAGAATGACAAACCTTTGTTCTTGGCTTTTTATTCAGCCAAGATTTGAATAAAATATATACGTTATGCTCATCAATTTTATGGATAATAAATTAAAGAAAAAGTGTGACTATTCTGGTTAATAATATTTTTAGGGCTAAAAGAGTGAAAGACTGATTCGAATTAAAAAAAAAAACAATGCAAGGATTGGTTATATTAGTTAAAAATAATATATTTAGAATTAGATAATAACTTATTCTGCTTTGCCTCCACTATTCACATTAGAAATATAATACAGTTGACCCTCTGTATCTGAAGGTTCTGTGCAATCCCCAATCAAAAATATTGTAAAAAAAATTGAAAAAAATAAAGTAAAACAATAAAGAATACACATAAAATATAACATTACAACTGTTACATAGCATTTACATTGTATTAGGTATTGCAAATAATCTAGAGCTGATTTAAAGTATATGGGAGGTTATGTGTAGGTTATATACAAATATTACCTTGATTTATATGAGACTTAACCATTCACAGACTTTGGTATCCACAGGGATCCTAGAAGCAATTTCCAAATGATACTGAGAAATAACTATTGAGTTGAGCTTTGGGTGACACATTTTATTAGTTTGGTGCAAAAGTCATTGCTGTTTTTACCATTACAAGTAATGTGCAGAAGTAATTGCAGGTTTTGCCATAAAAAGCATTACTTTTAATGGCAAAACCACAATTCTTTTTGCACCAAACTAATATAACATATACAGACAAATAGAACAAGCTCCAAGGATAGTTATTAGGAGAGGTATAGAGTGGGAAGCCACATCATATCAGGAAATGTCTATACTGTATCCCTTGCTTTAGTGCATTTCAATGCCATCTAGCCACTCATGTCTGCAATTAGATCCTCAGGAGAGATATGACATGGATTAGTTTAGCCGAATACGTGTTTACTACTTTCTTCAAAACCTCTGTTTGCTTCCTAGTCTCAGGACAGTACTAAAATACATTAGGGATGCCCTTTATTGTGATCCCTTAAAGCAAAACTAGAGCCAGGCCCAAACAACCAGTTAGTTGTCCCTTCCCCATTGTTGTCCCTATGGCTCCTCTCATTCTCCAAATCCAAAGATTTTCTCTTAAGGACAAAGTTTTCCCATGATGACTCTTCTAAAAGTGAAAGTAAAAAAAAAAAAAAAAAATAGAGCAACAGTGGGAGAAGTACCCACTCCCATCCAAAGTGGCACATTCATTCAGTGACTTGAGATATTTGAAGTAATATTACTTGAAAAAACATATTTGAATAATTCTGAGGGTAAAAAGTGTACACAAATTGGAAGTAGTAGTGAAAGAGATTCTGGCTCAATACAAGAAAGAACTTGAGGGAAAGGACTCTTGGTTTTCTGTATCTTTTCATGGCCTGGGACTGTACATGGCACATAGTAACTTCAAGAAATACTTGTTGATGTGTTGAGTGAGTAGTTAAATAAATAAATGGCTCAGAAGAGGAAATAGGCTGTTTATGTCAATTATGGGGGATAATCTGGTAAATCATCAGATGATATAACTCTATCACATCTGATTATTTGATTATGCAACTGATTGCATATAACTCTATCACATCTGATTATTTACTTGATTATTCCCCATAGTTGGCATTATAGGTAGTTCAGGCATTAAATGGGCCTAAAATTATCTCAAAAATCTGAGAAAATTTGAGACTCTTCTTTAAGTTACTGTCCCTTCCTCTAACAATAATGCCTCCAGCTTCTTTGTTATTTTGGTTCTGGACCAGATGTTCACTTAGATATAGTCTAAAGTCAGTTGTAAGTATTCACAGAATTTCTAATCTATAAACACCTTCCCGAGTTTTGTGTTCTGCTGTCATGTGACATATAAAGCAAGATTTCTGACTTACGCAGTTGTGATATATTTTATCAATATTTTAAGTCCAGATGCCATCAGGTGATTAGATAGATCAAATAATAAAGCACATCTTTTGCTACTCAATTCGTCTGGGAAAAACCTGCCCTGCCCTCTACTACTTTTCTTGCTCCAAGAAAAGTGATTGGAAAGAGAAAACATTTTGTAGTTAAACATTCCTGGATATAAATTTCAGCTCAGCCGTATTTCGGTTGTATAGCATAAGGCAAGCAACATTACTTTTCTAACTTAGGTTTCTTATCTATGAAATTGAATAAGAGTATATACCTTACATGATTTATATGGATATTAAGTGAGATATTGCACTTTAAGTATCTATTACAATTCCTGGCATACCGCAGACTATAGAAATGGCAAAGGCATTACTGGTGGTGTTGATAATTATGGATAATTAAGTATCTATTTGCTTCCTCTCCTTCTGTGAAGAAGATCAATTCAATTGGTTTTATGTGAAAAGAACAATCTCAAGGCATTGACTATTTTTTAGTATTTCTCATGAGGTTTTATTAAACAGTTTAAACAAGCAGAAAAATAGGTCATTTGCCCATAAACTGCCACGATTTTCAGACTGTTGCCTGTTTTGGAAAGTCAGCATTCATTTCAACCATATTGAAATCATATGCTGAGCAAGTCTACAGTGAAAGGACAACCCAAAGTCATGCTAAGGAAAACATAGCTTGGCCCACGTCCATCCAGCTGTAAATAAATTTGGATTTTTCTTGATGGACAAGAGTCAGGTTTCCTTATTGCCATAGGGAAGAAGAGGTACAAGCTATGAAGGAAGCTTATGTAAAATATTTACACAAGCCTTTTTTGATATGTTAATGAGCTAGATTCTTTGAAATGAAGCCTACTTTTGCCTATACTACTTTTTTAATAAGCATAATGAGCAAGAAACTTAGACTTGGAAAGTCTTTCTTACTTGTCACTAACTTGGTTGCTTCAATTGAAGTACTATGCCAGTTTTAAGCAAAGGAAATAAAGACATCATTGTACAGCAATGCTTATTTTTCTGACTATCTGAAAATTATAAGGATCGTGGTAGAATGGACCTGGTTATGAAGACCATTATTGCCCATGAAGATGGCCAGAATGAATGAGGCTGGCTGGGCTGTACTCCCACTAGGCTCTTAAACCTGAGCACTGGGGTTACCAGTAGGTTGGACATTTAGGTCTGTTGTCATTCAATGACACTGAGTTTACATGGAATAAAAAAGCAAAAGATTTAGCTCCTTTGATTCTGAACTAAATGCTCTCTGGAGACATTGAATGGTTGGCACTAATAATAATAATAGTAATAATGATAATAAAACCTATTTTAAGTGAACTATCTTATGACATTCAATGCTGAAAATGTAGTCAGGAGCTCAACAAGACTCCAATAGGAGCTGTAAAACTGCAGTTATTGAAAAGTGCAAATATAGTATATCTTTCAAGTATTGAAAACAGACATTCTCCTTGGCAGCTGTCAGAAGAAATGTGTCTTAGCAAATTTCCTGACTGAACTAAAGCATTCAGCATTTACTTAAAGATTTTGAAGCTATGGCCCAAATTGTAATTAGCATACTTGTTACTGGCACTGAATGCCTTCTTTCCAGGAAACAGATGTAAGAGCAAAGCTGAAAGTGATAAAAATTTCATTCTTCATCACTATAGAAAATCATTCAATGATACTGTTTCGTTTCTACTCTTGTCATTCACAGCATAATTTTTTTTTTTTACCAATATTTCCTGTTCATGCACAAAAACAAGCAGCAGCTACAGCCCTGAAAATACATGCCTCCATACTGCTAAGATGGCAGGCAGCCCTTGATACACAATTTAATCTGTATCTTGAATGTTCTAATAACATGATCCTTTTGGCTGCAAATGAACCCAGCTGAAAAATTTGAATTGTTGATGTTGAGTTAACATTCAGAGAAAACTCAAAAGTGACAGCCAGCCAGTGGAGTGATAAGATTTGACACTGGTCTAAATCTAAGCAAAATATAATATTTTATTCCAGGTTCTTTAAAACATATAAACCTCTCAACTCAGCAGTTGTTTTGGGTTTACCCCAAGATAGACTGAGCAGCTGAAGAAAGAGCCATTACATAGCCAGTCACAGGAGGCTGCCTTCCTTTAACTGGCCAATGAGTGGCTGAGATCTTAGTCTGGCTTGCACTGTTGGCTATATTATTTGCTCAATCAACCATTACAGCTAAAGAGCTCAGTTGGCTAATTTTTTGTTGTTGTTGTTTTGATTTGATTGGACTTGATCAGCAGTTGGAATGAATGTATTCAGTCAGCTGGTTTACCATTCACTTTGACTCATTATCTGGACTTCAGAGGAGTGAAAATCCACATGGGATTCGTGGTAGACCGAGTAAATGTATGTGGATATCTATGCCTACATAGAAGGACCTATCTCTGCCTTTTAATGTTGCTTTATCTTTGAGTTGGGGTAGGAAATTCTACAGCTTTTAAAACTTTATTTCTTTCTTACTGGCAGAGATATTTGCAATATTCCCATTGATGCATCATAACCATCATCATCACTATCATTTTTCAGCTTAAACAGCTGAAAGTCCTAGAAAAAGAACAGGAGGATAAAGAATCTTTATTTGTATTCCTTCCCATATTAAGAAATCAGACAAACAGCTTTTTATCTTCCTAGATGAATGGCATACTTTTGCTCTTGAATACATGGTATGTGTTGTTGTTAAACAGAAGAGTGTCTGGTAGCTTTCAATGAGAAATCGGTCAGCTTTTACAGTGGTTGAAATTACAGCTTGACCAAATTTTTCAGTGAATTTGTAGAAACTCCTTATCTCTGCCTCTTTTCTCTTTTTTTCATTTCCTCTCCTCTTTCTCTGTCGTCCCCTCTCTCTCTCTCTTCACTTTTACTTTTAAACAAAATTCCATTTTCTAGATTATACTCCTATTCAAAACTTATTTCTAAATCTAGGGCAGATATTTCTAAGATATCTCTAGGAGTTGATCAAAGAGTTAGACGATCTTTGCTATTATGATAGGCTTAAAAGTTGAAGGTCATAAAGTTTGAGAGTGGAGTGATGATAGAGTCAGTATTTTACTTGATGACTAAAGCTCATAAATGCTTGAGATGATTCTGTTGGTGGGAATACAGAAAAAAGATATGGTAATTCAAGGAATTAATAAAAATAAAGGTTTACATTAAATGGAAAGGGGACTGGTTTACGTATTCACATTCACAAGTACTGGTTGCGGAAATTAGTATCGAATCTGAGAATGAGCCACCTGATCGGGATATTGTCTGAGCCAGCAGTGGAGTCACTCATCTATGTCACAAATGACTAATCATTGTGAGTAAGGAAAAGGATGGCATAGCAAACATTTTGGTGTTGGTGAGTCCTAGAACCTGGAAAGGGGAAAGGATTACCTTGGCTTGTCAGTCAGAGCTGCCCATATGGGATAAGGCCCATATAATTATTATAAAGACCCATGTAATCATAAAGGACCATATAATTTAAGGGCCAAATAGGGCCTGTGAATGTTGAAATTTTCTTTCTAATTAATACTCCTTGTGTCAATTTAATGGTCTTGTGATTGCTCGTATGATTACTGCCCTGATAAAAATATATCAATAGTGAGTGGGTCTCACAAATGGAAACCCAATTCAATAAACATATATTGAACACCTAATATATGCCAGGTACTGGACTAGGTGCCATGAGCTGAAAGAAATGTGAGATGTCATCTTTGCATCCAAAGACTTCACAGTGGTTCAAAGCCACACCACAATTTTTGTAGTTAACTCACAACACTTTTTCCTTTAAGTCAACAATGTATTTTAAAAAGTAAAAGTTATCATGTAACAAAATCACCAGCCTTATAATCAAAGGAAGATGTCTCCATTTTGTCCTTGCCACCAGTGCACATGCACACACACTCGTGCATGCACACAGATGCACACACACCATAGACATGCACGACCCACATTTTCTTTTATTATCTTATTCTTTTTTTTTGAAGCTTAAGAAAGATTCAACTTCTTAGGCTGTGATTGGTTAAATATTTCTGGACATGTATCAATTTTTATATAAAAATCATAACCATCAGTAGGGATGGTACCAGGTTATAACAAAAAAAATCATAACCAGCTACCATTAACAGAGGAATTAGATTGTAACCTCTGTTTCCTTTGGTGAAATGACACCTCCTTATGTCATGACACAAAATGTTCATTAAAGAAGATTGTATGCCATTAATCCTTTCCTACCATCAGTTTACATACCATTAACATGGTCTTCTCTTTTGGGTTTCTGTATCTTTTTAGGATATATGAAACACTTTTAGTTAAAGGAGTTTTACAGTTCATGTAGCATTTTTAGTGGAAAATTGTTTTCAGAATTATGTTCCATACAAAAGAATATCTTATGGCACCCTTTCTATGTGTACAAACTAAAGAAGTAAATATATAATTCTGTGGGTTTCCTTTAACTACCACATTATTGTTTATTTCTATACCTACTTATGTACTGGTGATGCCTACTCAAGTAGGTATTATTCCAGTATATGATAGCATCCAGATTTTACAAGAGCATTTAAATTGGATGAGGTTTTAGAGATCTCTTTACAGATGAGGAAATCAAGGTGCTAAAGGCCTTAGTGACTGCCTTAGTTACTAAGCCAGCTACTGGCTGAGCAGAGACTCATTTCTCTTACTCTTATTATGGGGCTTTGTTTTCTAGGATGTGCCTCACTATATCTGCTCTGGCAAACTGTACCAGGTCTTTCATTCATTCAATAAAGGTTCACAGGGAATCATCTAAATGCATAATGCTACCATCAGCATTGAGGCAGGGGACTACAGAGTGCTGTAGTTAAGTAACTGCATACAACAGACTATTACTAATGTCGACCTCAGAAAGAGTGCAACAATGTATTAAAGGAAAGAAGGGATAGAATCCTTTTATTTAGAGGTATTCAGGAGATACCTTGCAGAAGTAGGATTTTAGTGGGGAGCTAAATGATCATGAAGAAATTAGCCCTTCAAAATAAGAGCACGACAGGACAGTGGTTAGAGAAATTTAAGAGTTCACAGCATGATGGATCCTAATGTGTAACCAAATGAACTTATGTAATAATTTTGAAATTTATGATAGCCACACCCTTTCCAAACAGCGCTTCGAAGTTAACTTATGACTTCAAGGGTTAGACAATCTGCTTGCTTCCACCGTCATACCCCCAAAATCACCTTGTTGGTTGTTCAATGACTTAACCTGTTATCATTTCCAATTCCCTTATATAGATTTGCCTTTTGTTTTGCTTCTACCTTTTATGACAGCACACTCTTAATTTCTCCTGTCACTTTCTGAGTACCTTCTATTAATTTGTTTATATTAGCACTGAATAATTGATTGTGTTCAGTTTTTATAGAGCTCAGTCTCAGAAGAAAATGAGAAAATTAAGATACTACCTTGTCTAGTACTTAAGGTAATGGGGAGTTATTATGAAATGGTTTTGGTGATACAAGTTGTTTTCATTTTCTTTTTTCACACAGATAGAAGTGCAAAACAATATTTGTAGTAGTCCATGCTCACACTGCTATAAGGACATACCCACGACTAGGTAAGTTATCAAGAAAAAGAGATTTAATTGATTCACAGTTCCATGGCTGGGGAGGCCTCACAATCATGGCAGAAGGCGAAGGAGGAGCAAAATCACATCTTACATGGTGGCAGGCAAGAGAGTGTGCACAAGGGAACTGCCCCTTATAAAACCATCGGATCCTGTGAGACTTATTCACTATCACAAGAACAGCACAGGAAAAACCCATCCCCGTGATTCAGCTACCTCCCACAGGGTCCCTTCCATGACACATGAAGATTGTGGGAGCTACGATTCAAGATGTGCTTCGGGTAGGGACACAGCCAAAACATATCAATATTTAACTGCTATTTCCTCTCCTGTAGTTGAGAATCTGAATAATGTTATATGAGATAGAATGATAGAGTTTCTTTTGCAAATGTCAAAGTAATGCTTGTAAAACAGTGTCATAGATAACCTTATATTGAGGCTTGCCTAGAGATGCAAATGACAAAGATGATCTGTGTTTAATAGTTCTACCTTTGATTAACTTATGTTTCATCAATTTACCTTCTACCTACTGTTCTTAAATTTGCAACATAAAGTTTCTACAGAGTTTGATTAAAATATTGCTATGATAATGATAAACATGATTGTTAGAAACTATAGGACATAATGAAAAACCGTGTCACTTTTTCCTCTACAAAATATGAAATAATTACCTTAATGGACTTTTGTTTGAGCTGCCATTATAATTATTGAACACAAGAACTCCACCTTTTCATAGCTGTGGTCTAATACAAATATATCATTGTTGCCCCTTGCAACTAGCTTGCTATGGTAGAAAAGTTTTATGTCTCTATCACCTTGTGAGCCAGTAGAAATAGCTGAAAGGTGTGAAAAGATGATCCCATCTCACTTTCTTACATATCTTCCACAGACGCATCTAAGTGACAGAATCTAATTTTTATCCAAAATCTTAGATACAAAGAACTTTCTAGAAAAAGATGCTGCATTGCATGAAAGCCCATTACAGAACAATGAGCTAGAATTTGAACACACCAATCTACAGTAGGTAACATAATGAGAATACAAGTAAAGAAAACCAGCTAACTCAAGATTCTTAGAAGAAAATCATGCTGAAGTTAGTTACTGCCTGAATAGAGGAAAGCACGTCCTGGGCAGAAGAAGTCATACTTAAAAGATTCTTAGATGAAAGGATGTAACGCTGAGGAGATTGAAAGTAGTTTGGTATGCTGAGAGGGTAGAAACACTAGAAAAGGGACTGAAGATGAGGTGAGAGACATAAGTAGAGCCAGATGGCTAAAGGCCTGGTAATCATCAGCTCATTAAGAAGTGTTAACTCTTATTCCATAAATTATGGAGGTTCAGCAGGAAGCCTGGTCATTCTCTGTTTCATCCCTACTCTCATTCTAACCAGAATGGAAATTTCCCCTCTTTCACTTTTAATTTCTTGTTTTGGAATAAAACTGGACAAATACTCATGACACCAGGCCTAGGGCAGAGAACCCAGAGACGTGAAGCTTTTATTTTATTCTACCCACCAAGAATAATGAAAAACTATACGTATTCCTACCAATCTGAAGCAAAGGCCCTTATGTCATCAGGGAGCAAGTGATGCAGAATTGTGCTAATTTAATAATATATCAGTTTTTGCAAAATTTTAGAAGAAGAAGCATTTATAGGAATTAAGTACTTTTCACATCCTCTGAGGCAATTGTAAAAATGTTTGATCTTTTTGGAACACATCAAACTGGTTGAAAGGTTATTAACAAAGTGACCGATAACAACAGCAACATCTTATTAATGTAATGACTTCTTCGTACACTTTTAAAGAAGAGCTAAATTAAAAAACTCTTTAAGCACCACCAGTTACCTCCCTTCCTCTCAAGCAGAAACATAGCTAATACGCCACAATATTATTTGCTATAACTGAAGACAACTATATTAGTGATTACTGTCAATTCTCTACCTTCAATGCCAGGTAGATATTTCCTATATTTAGCCTAAATTCATTCTATATATCTCAGACATTCATTTAAACTAAATTCACTCTATATAACTCAAAATGTATGTGTATGTAAATAATAAATACTTGATTATTAGTGAATGTACAGTAGCATTTCATGACCTAGAGCTGTTGTAATCATCTTAGCCTTTTTCCAGAAAACATCTTAATTTCACATCTTTCTCAAGCCAGGAATTGTTCTCTAACATTTCTTTCTAGTTGATTTTTAAGGTTCTACCTTGTATAGTTAGATGTTAACACAAATAACTTCGACTGCCCTGTCATCAAAATACATGGAGAGCTGTGTATATGCTAATAAGGCCTCTTTCAAAAAATATTTCTGAGTAAAGTGCTTCTTTCCAAGAATGCTGGCAAATTTGAGTAGGCTGCACTTTTTCTAATATTTTATATGCATTAATAGAAGGCACATGTAAGAAAACAAATACATCAAGAAGCTCAATAATTTCTCTGTTAGCTTTACTTTGACTATAGCCTTATCAAAAAAGTGAGTTTAGGTCTCTTTTCTTCCAGCCATGTCTTTTTCCCTAAACTCTACTATAACGGAGGGAAAAAAAAACTTGCTGATTTTTACCCTTATGTATTCAATTCTGCAATTAAAATATGAACTTTTAAACCTAAAAATTCCACTGGAGCATTGGTAAATAGCAGGAGTAACACATATCGAAGGGTGTTCACGTTTCTGGCATGTGAAGCCTCACAGAAGAGGGCTTATTTTATATTGGTCTTTTGTATTTTTACATTTAACTGATTGAGTCAATGGAAACCAGCCCTAATTGTTGCTTTATAGGTGGACGATGTTTTCCATCACTGGCACATACTGAACTAAACCTTCGGGGAGTAAAACAGGGCTGGGCTGCTGTTTTCTGTTACTCTGCAAATCAGAAAAAGATTGGTAGTTCTGATTAATCTTTTATTTCGTTTAGTTGCCTACACAACACCCTGCCAAATTACTTTATAATAAATAATAAAAGTCACTGAGAACTATGTGTTTATTCTCACCACCAATCCAATAAAAGATTTTCTATAAATGAGTTATTTCTAATATAATACAAAGCTTGAAGAAAATTATTGAAAGCAAATTTGCCTTATGCTTTTATGTTAGTAGAATGTCCAAAACTTAAGAATAAGTTCAACTAATGATGATGTGATTTTAAAGGTTCTAAAAAATTTAAAGCAGCAAAACAAGTCCAAATGTATCTCTTCATGTTGTAAAATGGCATTTAATGAATAAAAGTTACTATTAGGGTAAACATGATGTTATTCAGATTCTTCACAACAGTGGACTTCAGAAATCTAATTTGTTGAGTATGTTAGAATAACATTTTTTAAAAATGTGCTAAAATAAAACAAGCATTTGACTCTAAACAAAAAGAGACTGCATTTAATAGCAAACAGAGCACAATGTTGCCATACACACTTTCTCAATGGGAAAATGAGTTAATGAGGTCCTCCTTATGCAAGAACATGAGGAACATCAAACTATGGTTACTACTAAGCACATGTGTAGTTCTTTGCAAAACACTAAATTCCTTATATCCATTTTTGTTAATGCTTCCTCAGCACCACCAATCACTACTCCCATTTTTTACAGACGAGGAAGGTAGAAATGAGTAAATTATTTACCCAAGATAGCAAATTAGTTTGTGTCCATGCCAAGATATAGCTGATCAGCAGAGTGATTAAAATATCAAAGGGCCACGGTTCTGTGCCTCTCTTCGTTCCTAGCTGCAGTAATACAGTAGACTTACTGAAACATGATGAACAAAGAATTATTAGCAAATGTGACATCTGGAAGTTGTTTCAATAGTGCAGGATGTTAAAGCAAGTGTGTGGGGGTAATTAATTGATTTAGCACATTTAAGGGAAATTTCTTCTCAATTACAATACTTGCTGGGAAATAATAGCACACCAAAAAAAAGCTCTTTTTCTATGGCTAGATTTACCATTATGCCATTTCTTTCTCCCTCAGTAGACGACATAGGCACTTAAGTTGAGGGTTTGAGCCATAAAATTTGTCTTAAAATGCTGGTCAATAGGATATTGGATAACTTTCTGGAAATTTTCAAAAGATCTGCTCCTAATACATTAAATTATATAGCTTCAGATGTATTTAGTTATTTTGCTTAACTGTTACAGTGACTTCCCTCACCTAATAATTCAAACACCTCTTAAACTACTGAACCATTAGGACATGCCCTGATTCTGTAAGCTGCAGGTTACAAGAGTATTTTACACAGTCAAGACCTTTTAGAACTCAAAGCCTTCCTCTATTATATATTAAATGGCTGCTTTGCTGAAAGACAAAATGTTACATGAGGGTGAGCCCAGTGGTATTAATGGCTACAAATCACACCAAACCAAAACAAAAAAAAATTATAGTCACATCTAGATCCTATGGCAAGAAGAGTTAAGTAACCATGCCATAGAGGCTGCTGTGCTTAACTGAGGCTGAAAATAATTGGAAGATAAATGAGTAGATGCAGTGAATTGAAAAAGTCTTATTTGATAATAGCATCAGCCTTGGTTCCCAAGAAAGCACCTTGTTTCGTGTTCAGTCTAATAATTAAAGGAAAATAAAGGGAAAAGAATTGTACCAAAGACCAGGATGTGAGTTAGTTGATTAAATGAACATTTATGAGTATCTAGTATGTGCCAGGCACGGGAGTTCACAGACATATAAACAAGTAATTGCAAGATAAAGGGAGAAAAGGCAATAAGAAAGTGGTGTGAGAGTGCACCAGGCAGCGACTGAGCCCTGGGAGGGGAAAGATTCAGAGAAGATCACATTTCTGCTGACAGAGGGCAATGTGTACACAGTCTCAGAGTGAGACAAAGGAAGTGTCACCTGGAAAGGCCATCCAAGTCCTTCATAGTATTTTATCGTTTTTTTTGTTTGTTTGTTTTTCCTGGCGAATTCAGTACATTTCAGTCTATACTCAGCCCTGCGGACTTAATCATTCAGTCTCTTTAGTGTTCCAGATTTAAAAGAATGGG